CAGCCCAAGAACCCTGTTATGGGAGTGTGTAGAGTCTTGCAGGAGATTTCATTTATACTTGCCTCTAATTTCATAAAGAAAGGGGCTGTTGGTATGAGTGTTTGAATAGTCTTGTTTTATTTTGGGGATGCGGCTGAATTATGTGACGTGGATCTTCCCTGCTATGACTAGAAGCCTTTCTTTTTCTTACTCTGTTGTGTCAGCTAGCTGCTTTGTGAAACTTCTTAGTTAGTAGTACTATTCTGTAATGAGGGAAACCTTGCTAGAAACTGTTCATACCCTGAGTGTGGTGAGAACGGACCAAGTTAGTCTGTTCCTTTTGTAGCTTAAAGGAGGATAATTCTGCTGCTGCGCTGAGCAGTGGTCAGACGGTGGCTGGGATTGAACATGTCTAACTTCTGTAAACAGCTTGTCCTGTTGTTGAGATAGCCATGGTGGTACTTGTGCTTGCTTTGTGAGCCATGTAATTTTTGTTAAATGGTTTGGAACCGCAGGCCTGATGGTACGTATCAAGGTCTGCACTGCTCTTTAGAAGTGGCAGCCAACAGTTAACTTGCTAATCTGATTGAAATCTTCACATTTGTTTTAAGGACTGGAATACTTTCCTCCTGAGGTTTAATGATTTGGACTTCTGTATATCTGAGAATGAAACCTTAAAGCATCTCATCAATGATACCACAACTCCAGAAAGTACCGTGACCAGTGGACAGGCGAGATCTTCTACACAGTCTCCACAGACTCTTGAGGACTCAGGTCCAATAAACATCTCTGTTGCAATCACATTGACGCTGGACCCACTCAGGCCGTTTGGCGGATATTCTCGCAATGTCACACATCTGAGTTCCACAATTTTTGGACACCAGATTGGACTCTCAGGTATGCAAGACTTGACTTTTATAAATTTGAATGATAAACTATATAGTCAAATAAAAATTCACCAGCGTATTATTGGTGAGATTAATCTTTTGCTTGGAACGTACATGTGTTTCCAGATCTGCTATGATCATATCCATACACCTACTCACCTGTTTGCTAGAAAAACTTTTCCCTGCATTCAGAATGGAAAACAACCTGCAGGTTTTCCAAGATGAGGCTTTGCAGTTTTAAATGATTAACCTAATGCCAATGGAAGGTAATTTTTAAGCCAACAAAATTCCAAGCAGCAAAAGCTTCTACAGTGACTATCTTGAGTTCTATCTTGATAGATCTGCAAGTCCTTAACTCATGTTTTAAAGGCATTAATGTATATACATTAGAGATACCAAGTAGCATGTTGCCAAAAAAAAAAAAAAGGTTATCTGAAATGCATACATGAATAAGCTTTAATATTGCAACCAGTAACAAAAAAGATGGTAACAATTTCTGTGGTGTGAAGAGACTGGTATGCTATGTGTCTGCCCTGCCGGTAAGTTTTGACAGGAGACTGTAGAAAATTAGTAGAAATTGATAGTAGGATCTCATGGAATTCTAGCTTTTAGCCTGGGTTGCAAATGCCTGAAGGTGTTTTGAACCTCAGAGAGCTGTGAAGACACATTTACCATAGCTGTAAATCTGCATTAATGTGTTTTATGTTATTGTTGTTACTGCTTTAAGAGCTATCAAATGCAAAGTTCCATTTGCAGTAGCCTGGATTTAGTTTCAGTATGAATATATCCATGTGGAGTTAACGTACACTACTTATCCTGCAGTTCAATATATGCTGGCACCTTTTTGTCTACATGAGTATCTCCAGTTTGAAAAGTAAGCACCAGAAAAAGCAAATGTGGAAAAAGTCTTTGGGAGGAGAAAGCCTAAAGATCAGTGATTTTTTTCCTTTCTAATAAAGTTCTCTGAACATGCATGAATTCACTTATAGTGAGTTTTTCCCTTCTGAATAGAGCCTCATCACTCTGTTTCTTCTGGGGGCAGGAGAGATTAGAAAGACCAGAAGCTGGGGGTTTTGTAGTTTGGTTTGATTTGGTTTTTAACTTTCTTTTTTGATCTCTTTGTTGATACTAAAGATCCTGGATGACTTCAAAGGTACAGATTCAGGATGATGGTTGCTGCCTTAGTCATTTGCATGTTGTCCTTATCCTAGTGATTGTTGCTCAGATACTTTTGTGAATGAAAACCAGCTTTTCTTCTCTCTCTCTCAAAGGCAGAGAATCCCATGAGGAGATAAATATTACATTCACCCTGCCTGCTGCTTGGAACTCAGATGACTGTGTTCTTCATGGCCACTGCGAGCAGGTTGTGTTCACAACCTGCATGACTGTGACAGCAGCCAGCAATGTATTTCCTGTCACAGTGTAAGTGCATTTTAAACGCTCCTTCATAGATTGGTTACTGGGTGATTTAATTCCTCTGCTGGTCCTCTGAGGTTGTCACTTTCTGATGAACTTTATTGTTGACTGTAGAAATTATGTACTTGCCTTCCTTCCCCCACAGTAAAAAACCCATCTTGAGACTTTTGCAGTCTTCTAGCAACACTATGTATTTTTTTCTGTAGATGTTTTGAACTATAGCACCTACTTGCCTTTAAGTGTGCTACCTGTGATTTAAACTTCACTAGGAACAAAGGAATCTGTGAATTTTTAAGAAAGATACTCTGTAATTTAGTTTCACTACCTTGCGTGAGAGCTAAGGTTTGACACTAAGGTTCTTTACCCTCTTCCCTGCTGAGAGATCAGTGTAAGCTGAATGCTGTTTTGCTACCATACCCCAGCAGGTACACACTTTCATCAAAATAGCTTCCCTTTGTCTTCTGTAGACTCTGACACTATTCAGTATACCCTGGAGAACCACCAGATAGATTCACTTGTCTGTGAAGCCTTATGAAAACCAGTGTTCTTCTCATTAGGCTGTGGGGTGTTGACTTACTGGAACAACATGTAGTTAAATTCTTATCTTAGTATAGGAATGATATGGCGTTTTTTTAATACACCCTTACAGTTAAGCTTTGTTTTTCGTTGTTGTTTTGGAAGGTCCAGAATAAAACTGTGTTTTATGCTGTTGTTGAAAAGTCTGGACTTGACTCAGTTCTCTTAATGAAAATGGAGAATGGCAATTGTGGTGCTAATTATTTCCGTTTTTCTGCAGTCAGCCACCACATTGTGTTCCGGAAACCTACAGCAATGCTACACTTTGGTACAAGATCTTTACCACAGCAAGGGACTCTAATACAAAATATGCACAAGATTATAACCCTTTCTGGTGTTACAAAGGAGCAATCGGAAAAGTGTATCATGCTTTAAATCCCAAACTAACTGTTATAGTTCCAGATGTAAGTGCCATAGTGATTTTATATGTTATGTTGAATAAATGTTTAGCTCTGGTTTAATTGAATATGGTTCTGTTCATCCTAAAATCACCGTATTCAGTGCTGGTTTATTATGTAGTGCAAGGGTTGAGACAGAGTTGGGTATGCTTTACCCGTGCTGGGCATAATGCTCTTCATGTAATCCCCATGTGCCTCACAGCTTTTAATGTCTGACATTAATATTTTGAAATCATTTGACAAAAGACACTGCCAGTATATGGGAAGAGATCTCTAGTACAGATTTTTAACATGAGGACCGTTTTGGCTCTCTGTGCCACAGTTAGGAATCACTTTCATTACTATGCCAGCTGGGTAAAGGGGAGAAAGTTGATTCATTAAGTAATTTCTGTGCTCATCTGATAATTATTGTTTTAATATAAAATGCCAGCTATTGGTGCATTGTCAGTAAATGGTTTTAATTCTCTGTTGCAGGATGATCGTTCTCTAATAAACCTGCATCTCATGCATACCAGTTACTTTCTTTTTGTGATGGTGATTACAATGTTCTGCTATGCAGTTATTAAAGGCAGACCAAGCAAACTGAGGCAAAGCAATACAGAATTCTGCTCTGAAAAGGTGAGTCTGTGTAATAACAAAACATTGACTATGATAAGAAAACATAGAAACCCCCCTTTTTTACATAGTACAGACTGGTTTTTCTTATCTCTGGAGATGTAGATTTAATCCCCTTTCAAAGAGACATGGGTGTTTCATTGTGGACTGTACAGATAGCTGCTACAAAATAAATATATGTGCTCCATAGATCCTGAAAGTTAAATGTCTCTCCTACAGAAGTGGATTCTTGCAGCTCAGTAGGTGCTGTAATGCAACTGTTCTGCCATAATTCTGACGTTGCACTGTTTTATATCAAGTATTGAATAGATGGCATTGAGTAGTTTTATTTATCTTTTATCACAACAGACTGAAAATTGCATCATTGTAATGGTTGTTAATCAGAATTAAATTGAAACCATGAGAAAGCTTTGAAACAGTCATTATTCAGTGCTGCACCAGAGACCTGCACTTTTCTTGAAGGATTAAATATGAATATATTTAATTGTGAAGTAGGAAGCTAATGTTGGCACCTTTAGATCATAATGATCTTTTGTAGTGTAAGCTGGTTTGGGTTTTTTGGTTTGGTTTTCGGTTTGTTGTTGGGGTTTTTTTGTGTTGCTTGTTGGGTTTTTTTTAATTGATAATGCTAAGTACAAAACACCTTCAGACTTTGGTTTTCTTTCCAAGTTAGATTTTTTCAAGGTTCTTTGAAAAGTCAAGGACAGATAGGCCAGCTGCATGGAGATAAGTAATATCACTGTTACAGGATTAAGAATTTGGCTTTAATTAAATGTTTTCTTTCTTTTGTTTAGGTTGCTTTGTCAGAAGCATAATCCATCCTCTACTTTTACTGAGAATGACTGAGAACCGTGATCATTGCCTGCTGAACCCAGAATGGGTCTTAACACTCTGTGAATACATTATCTTGCAATGTTGGTTTATTCCAACCAAAGACATTTCAAGTGCCTGTAATTGATTTGTACATATTTATAAAAGTATATTCAGAATAGGTCAGATGATGCACTTGTTCCGCATTGTAGTGCGGCCGGAAACTTTCAGTCTTTACCTGTGGACATAGCCGAATGTTTGTGTAGATATGTTTAGTGATATGGCTACATATAGTCAGAGCAAGATATTTTTGTCTAGCTGCATCTGGGCAGGTTAAGATGCCTTTGCAAGTGTCTCAAAGAAACCAACAGATCTTTGTTTTTTGCCCAATGATATGTACAGTGTGTTTGAAACAGTATGCACCTTTGATATAATACTGCATTTCCAAAGCCACCAATCTACTACATGAATTAAATGTGTATTTGTGTGGCCTAATACTTTCTTCCATTTGCTCCTTGCTTGCAAGAAAAGATATCAACGTTTTAGGGTTTTTTTGAAAAAAGGAATACATATTCACATTTTCATAGTGCTGTATTTAGGACAAAGTCGTGCTTTTATTCATAGTAAAAAAATGAAGAAGTGAAGTCCCATTTAAAAATGTTTCTTACTGAAAAGTGCTGTTTGATTTTTTTTTTTTTAATTTTTTTTTTCTTTATTTTTTCATTTGGCTTGCTGAATGCCGAGAAGTCAGCATAGAGACTATCTGGAAAGCTTTCCACTTGGCCTCCCATCTGCAGCCCTCAAACCAGGATTGTGCATCTCTGCTGCAGAGCAGCTTTCTGTGCTTTTTTTTTTTTTTTCTAGAAAGTGAAACTTAATAAAAAGATGTATTGTATGAACAGTCCGGGGCTCTGCACAGCCTTGGGCAAGTGCAAACAATGAAAGGAAAAGAAATCCCATAGTCTGGTATAAAGCTTCACTTTGGGACTCTCCATCCGTCTCTGAAGGGCAGCTGAAAATAACACTTTTATTAGCTTTGTCCTATTTCCATTTAATGCTGTCCGCTCAGGGGAAAATGACAAGGAGAGGACTAGGGCTGTTGTGATTCAGGTCAAAGAAACCACACAGTAAAATACATACTGTTCTCTCTGTCCATTCTTAAATCAGAGGTTTTATTCTGTGTGTCTCTCCCTTTCCCATTCTGGCTTTTGCTGTTTCTTTCTAGCTTCTTATTGAGCAGCCTCCTTAATTTTCATGAGTCAGGGTTTTCCTGCAGACATTTCCACCACTGCTTTTAAAATCTCACTGGTTGCCTTAATTGACCTTTCATCTTGTCTTTCAGCTTTCTTGTCAGATAGTACAACTGTAGGTCTGCATACATAAACATGTACTTTCTTCCCTTCTACTTTTGCTCTAAACCACACAAAAGAAGAAACCCAAGTCAGAATCTCACAGTCTCAGTTATGCTGGCATAAGATTCTTAGTTTATTATCTATAGACTTAGTTTATTACCTGCGAGTAATACCTACAGGTATTGCCTAATACCATACTATTGAATGGGACCCTGCTGGTCTGTATGTGTGGGACTTCAGTAAGTTCATGAGTCTTCAGAGTGTTTGAAGCGAAACAGTCACACTTTTCTTCAGAACATGTTTTCTTTATAGACTTTCAGTTACTTAAGTGGTATTAACTAACGTGTTTTTCTCCAGGAATGTTAAGGTAAAGCTTTCGAGGTGGCCTAGTTTGAAGTCTAGGGATAAAATGAAGCTTCCAGTTTTCTCCTGATGCTGCTGTGGGCTAATACTACTTCACTGAAATGAATCGGTGGAGTCCAAACAGGTAGACAGCTTCTCATGAAACCTTTGTGAGCTGTTCCTAATTCATGCATACCCAGCCTTCGGCATTAATACTGACTTCTAGAGTTGCCTGTGAGGGTGGCTTGATCTGGGACCAAAGGCAGGAATAGGAAACAGACTGGGGTGGTGTAGCAAATTCTGGAAATACCTAGAAAACACCCAGTATAAGACGACTCCCTTAAAAAAGCAAAGCCAAGTGTTTTCTGTTTCAGCAAATTAAAAATCACACTCCAAATATCCAAGCTTGGAATTTGGTCTGTTTTTTTTTTAATCTGGTTTTGCTGTTTGGTAATTAGAGGAGCCTGCTTTGCAGTTTATTACCCACCGTATTGAAGTACCCAGAAATACTGCAACCCACAAACGTAAAAGGGAAGATGTTCAGAGTTGTATTTTTTGGCCTTAGTTTATCCCTTTGCACCCCCGTATTGCAGCAGAGAGGTGAGGGTGTCCACTGAGTTGAAGTGCTGTAATACTGAGGAATATTGGATTGTTCTAGGCGCAATGTACAAAAGTTAATGCAGCCAAACAGAAGAGTAAAAACTTTTAATATTAAAGTTCAGATCATATTGATCTTTCCTTTTTTGTTTTCTTTTTCTTTTTAACTATGACTTGAATCAGTTTTGATTCTATTTGTACGTGTTTTCTTGTTCTTAGAAAGCTGCCATTTTCTTTTGCATTTTTCTTTGGCATTACATAGAAAATCTGAGCCTTGGTTTTCAACCCTCTGCAGGTGATTGTAGGGTTAAGATGGCTTTTTTGTTTTGTTCTTACATTTCACTTGTCTTGTTGCATGATGGTCAATAGCCAATTTGGAAATGACATTTCTCTCCTAGATTAATTTTGTGTTTGTAAGATGTGCATATTGCTTTGCAGAATAAAAACAATGAAGTTTATTCTGTTGTCTTTATTTCTACTGCCCAGTTGCCGTGGAGGTTTCAGAAATCACCTATGTCATAGGGACCATCGGAAGAAATTAGTAGTGAAAGTCCTCAATAGATAAGAATTTCAGACCCTTTGTGTGCCTGTGGTGCAGTGAGCACTTGAGGTAGACTTTTTTTTTTTCTTTATGTATTGTGGTGTAGGGAATGTAACCGGTGCCCAGCATGAGAAGTGCAGAATTTGTGACCTAGACCTTGATGATGATCATGCCTTCCACTGCCTCCTCACTACAAATGCTGTGTAACTTACTCAGCTGAACCAAGACTAGATGCTGAGTGTTTCAAAGTGCCTGCAGGTGGCTGTTGAAATGAAGATAATTTAACATGTTCAATTCTAGCTCCAGTTACTGTGCAGCTGGAACAAGTTGCACCTGCATGTTTTCAGTGCTTGAGAGAGTAGGAAAAACATACTTTGTTTTGCTCTTGGAAGCTTGTTAAAAGCTAAACACTGCATTTGACAAGTGCAAGAAGGCCAGCCTGTCTTGGTTTCTCTGAAGTACAGAGTTCAAAGCATCCAAATGGTGCCTATTCAAATCTGGTGGCAAATAGGAGCATTGTTTCATAATTTTTGCTGGGGAGCGGGACTCTTAAGAATTAATAGAAAAAAGTTATTTTAATGGAGTTCTCTTTGTACATGCCCTTGGTATGGCTCTAGGAAACCTGGCTAGTTCTGAAATGTCTGTCCTGAATGAGCATTATTGCCCTGTGGTAGCATGGTCTCAACTATGAGTGAGTCTGTCACTACTTTAGTTAGCAAAGCAGTCATCTTTGGCCTCCACTGAGTTCTGTCCCTCAGCCAGCAAAGAGGAAGAGAAAGGCAGTTGGACACGTATTCACTTGTTTTCTGTTAAACAAACTCTCTTTCATAACTCAAGCAGCCACTATTTGGCGAGTGCACAGCTTTGTTCAATGAGGTTTATAGAAGTGCAACTTCCTTGAAGAAAACCCTGTTTTCATAGTTCTTACTGCAGAGAGTTACACTTGAGTAAACTTAAAGGAGGATCTGCCATGAGTTCCCACTGGGGTAAAAGTACTTGGCAAATCAATGTGTGATTAGAACAAAAAGTAAAGGTGAGCAACCTGCTGCCTGGAATATTTCCCCAGCCTCTTGCATAGGGAAAGTCTTGCTGTAATTTAGTGCCATAGCCTTAAGTCAGGCTCTTTCAAAGCTCCCTCCTGGCTCTTGATAGTATGAGCAGCTTAAAACTAGGTGTTACAAGCAGGTAGTACAAGGGGTGGGTGGGGGGAAGGGCTGTTTTTGCTGATATTTCCAGGTGCTGGAAGGTTGGAAGGGTGGGGTGAGCAGAAGGGATTCATTTGATAACACTGTAATCAGGCTGTTTGCTCATAATGATGATGTTTGTTAACAAACTAAAATAAGAGCAATGAAAAATTATGTAAAGCTTGCTCATCTGGAAAAAATGCATGCACTGTGTTTGCAATCAGATTACATCTAACGTTAGCAGGCTGCTACAGATTGGGATGAGAAGTACCATCTGCCATCAGCAATGGCATTTCTTTAATCGGGTGCTTCGTGCCAAATATTTTGGTATTACATGAAAGTATTGCTGAAAATTAGGAACAGCATCTGTCTCCTTGCAGCAGCTCCTTCTTTTTGCAATCAAATTGCTTTAGCCTTCTTTTTAAAATGGAGAGTTCCAAAGAAATGTTCTCAAAAGTTCATATGAATGAGTATGCTGGCAGCTGCTGAAATTTGGATTGTAAATTCTCCTTTTCTCGTCCTTCCAGCCCCAATCAAAACTTTGCTAGTGATGAATTGTCTGGCAGACCGAGAGAATAAATCTAGCTAAAGGTAGAAACTCATGTTTCTGTTAACCTCTTGTGACTTGTCTTCTGTTAACCAGCTAACTCAGTGACTTTCAGACTTTTGATTTCTGAGCCCCACAGACTGCGCTCCTGGAAGATCCCTGAGAAGCTGCACATAAAGGTTCCTTTGTGGCATCCATCCTTTCTGTTAAGCTTTTGCCAACTTTTCAGATGTAGCCTGGGGACTGACCTTGAGGTGTTTGTTGAAAACAACTCAGCTAAATAAATAGCAGCAGTGCTGAGAAGCAAGGTGCAAGCTTGCTGGATTTGGATCTTCCTTCAGCACTGATGCTAAGCAGTGTCCCTGGCTCTCAGGAGATCTGGGTTCCTTGCTGTGCCTCGCTGGGTGACCGAGTAGGAGTGTTTGTAGGTCTCTGCCTCTCCTTTATAAAAGGCTTTTACAGCTCTAAGTGCTATGACCTTTACTGATAGAAGTAAACTTATCCTTGGCTAGAAAATGCATCCAGCTGACCATGCTGCTACAGGGAGGGGGAGGCTATATCCTAACCTGCAAGACTTCCTAGCAGAACCAATATTCCCTGTTTACCTTCTGAAGGTGTTTCTTTACAGGATGTTGAAGAAACAGTTGGGACCTAAGTATAGATTTCCTTGTGCTATCTCTATTGTTAGCTCCTTGCAACATGATTCTTGCACCTCGATGAAATAAATAACAACACAAGATTTAATCTGTAGCTACAAAAAAAAAAAAAAAAGACAATCCATAGACCAGCTTTTTCATAGACCTTATTAATGTTTGTGAATAAAACTTTTCACTATACATTATCATTTGAAAAGATCTGTTCTGGTAATGACCTCCATCTTCTAGCAAGAGGGTGCTCTACAGCAAGGAGGATGGTAATATCTTCTCTATGGACTTTGTATAAATCACACCATGGAGTTGTTGTGTCTGTGGGGAATGAGTGAGAGCCCAGGAGCAACCTGGGTAAGGTAAGTAACTGAAAAGTGTGGGTAAACCCCTCATATCCTTGTACCCATTTCAACCCACAGTCCTGTATGAACAAAACTGTCAGCTTGTGGCAGGCACAAATGGGTAAGAAATGTGATTTTGTGGCCCATAGTGGAGGCTGTGCTGCACGCATCTCCTCCCAGCAGCACTCACCACACCTCAGGCAGGATTTTCACCCTGGAGTTTCTTTCTTCTGGACTCTTACCCTCTCCTTTCTTTGGCAGCAGTGTTTGCTGAGGAGCTGGGGCCAGGTTACTGCCTGCTCTGTTGTGAAGGGTCTCTGATGGGTGTAATCACCATTTTGCAGAGCTATAAGGAAGAACTATCTCATGTAAACCACTGAGGGAGAGCTGGTCTGGCATTTATCTAGAACCAGACAGGCAGGGAGCCCTGGCCCAACACAGGTGGAGAAGGTTGTGGGGTGGAGCCTGGTCGTTACCCACAGGAGATGCTCATTGCTCCTCAGCTGGGCAGTGGGAGGCTGTGGTTGAGCTGGGGCAGTTGCCATCTGTTGCTCCTTGGCCAGCGAGGTGACTTGTCTCCTCAGGGAACCCTGGAGAGGTATTTCAGCCAGTAAATTGCTGGTTTGGGTGTAGTGGCTGAGTACAATCCTCGTAACTGTTTGGAAGTGAACTGGTTGTACTGGAGTTACTGGATTCCTCCAACTCTGTGAGTCCTTGCCGGAGGGGGCTGTAGGGGTGTTTCCAGCGGTGCCTTTGCTGGTGTAGGGCGAGACTGGGCTTCAGAGCGAGCAAAAAGGGGTTTAGGAGACTGTGGTCAGTGGGCTAAGGGCTTGCTACAGGGCTCAGAGCAATGCGGGTGGCTGAATGTGCTCCTCATCTTTGAGCCTTGCTCTCCTGAAAACCTGCTGTGTTCACTAAGGCTCGGGGAGGGAGGAAACAGCTTGAAAAATGAAGATTCCCAAGGAAATCCTTGGTGAGATCTGAGCTAATGTGGGTGACCTAGAGCCTGGAAACAAGGAGAAACCAAGAGCTGCCCTGGGTCAGGAAAAGAAGTTGGAAACTCCTGCGAGCAAATAATTTGTAGCACTGAGACAAACTGAAAACTGTCAGTTGGGCGAGGCGGGGGGGCTGCAGCCTGCGGGGGCTTTGCGGGTGAGCTGGAGGCCGGGAGCAAGGCGGTGGCACCCGGGCAGGGCTGAGAGCGGCTGCGGCGGGGTGGCAGCTCTCCCCGGGCAGCACCGCTAGATGGTAGCAAGAGCTCGGCCTTGAATTTTTTTAAGGCTTTGCCGGGCGGGGAACGGATCTGATGCCTTTGGGGAGCAGCGTTACCCCAAAGCTGCGCAGAGCAGGCACCTGGGAGGGGGTGTTTGTGCGAGGGGGTGGGATACACGAACCCCTTTGTGCTTCGGATCCTGCGGGGAAAGGGCAGGAAGGGGAAAATCAGCTCTGGCAAAGCTACACAAAGAAATCAGCAGCAGAGAGGGGGGTCTAAGGTGTCCTGAGCCCTGCTCAGGCTGGTAGGGGCTGTGTGTCCGTCTGTCTGTCCGTGGTGCCGCCCGACCCACTCGGAGCAGACTCAGCCAGAGCCCTTCGGGGACTCGGGTCAGTAGCTGATGCTCCTGGCACTGCCTGGTGCTCCAAGGGCCCTTTTCTTAGTGAAATGCTCCATCCCGGGGACCCCACAGCCCTCCTGGGGTGTCTGTGACCCCAAAGGGAGGTGGGAATATCCCTTGTTGGGGCTGCTGGGGAGTCGGGTTCTGCATCTGTTGGGTGTTGTGGCTGCATCTCCTGAACGAGCACAAGGAGCAAAGATAGGATGCTTGTCTCCTTCCTGAGAAATATTTCCTTGTCAGATGTTGTGGACCCCCCTAAAATAGGGGGGTTTCATTTAGGAAGGGATGAGAAGTTGTTTGAACAGCAGTTTTCCAGCCTTTTACCCCTGATGTTCCCAGGTGTTCATTTGGACTCAGTCAGTGCCCAGGTTTTTGCAGCAAGCTCAGGTGTAGGAGTGAAGATGGGATTTTTCAGCATAGTTGACTTTTTATCTGTAGCTTCTAGCCGAGGCCGTGCCCCTTGGCATCTCCGCTTGCACTGAACCCAGCTGAGGTGCCGATGGGGAAAGGGAGAGCTGAGGTGTTCCCAGCCAGGGCACAGAGACCTGCTGGGTTTAGGGGGGCTCTGGATGCCAGCCA